GCTTGAGTTATGATGTTACACACATCCTTCCTCTCCGTTATATTCCCGCCCTGCATCCTGAACATCTCCTCTGTATTTAGGGTCTTATTTCAGGCATTACTTGGGCTTTGTAAAGCTCACTTAGCAGCCCTACATGTGAACGACTGCAGTGTGTAATGACAGACCTTTAAAAAAAATCATCATTTTTAGAAAGTGCAAAAATCCCTTCCCCCCCCCCAAAAAAAAAGCTTAATGAAAAATGTGACGGAGATACAGATACAATAAATGATTGAGTCAGTTGTGTTATCTTCATGGTTAAAGAAGGTGTTACCTATATTTGTGCCACTATTACCTCTTCAGCCAGGCGGTAGAGAATCTACACACTTTAAAGTGTTACTGAAAGCATTCTGTTTCCAATTTAGATTTCTATTGAGCTTTGAAGCGGGCATATTGTCCACATTATCCTCAGGATAATTTAGGCATGTGATGTCAATACCAGCTGAAAGATTCATAAAAGCGCTTTAGTGTGTTTCCCATTTGTCTACAAGTTTTAAATTCAATTCAATTATAATATCCAGATTTGGAGATTCTTTAATAGCCTTCTTTATTAGGGTTAAACACCTAGATTTAGCTCAAATTATGTTCCATTTACTGTACCTCACAAGTGGTGAGTGGTGAAACTTGCTGTGACAGCGTTCTCAACACTTAGATAGTTAACAAGAAATAAACACTTCCCCCACACTGACTTTGTTTCTTTCCTTTTATCGGTTCTATCTCAGTCACTCTCTTTCCCCGTTTGTCATTAAATGCACCATCAGTGCAACATCAGTGACTGCTTATTCAACATTGATTTGATACTTGGCATGGTCTTTTTTCCCACATGTTCACATGACCTGGGCAAGATTAAGAAATACGCGACTTAAATTTTGCATAAAATGTATACCAGCAGTCAACCAAGCTGTTAAATGAAGTATTAGAATTGAAGTTGGCCATCAAGACTCTACCAGTCAGTTTCGAGGGCCACGTTCTCTTCTAGGCTCCTTTATTCCTTAATGACATGGACCCTTAGTTAACAGGCCCAACTGATCTCTTAATTGACAGATAGACCAAAGAATGAGGAAAGTTCATGGTTATGAATCATCGTCTTCTCTGGACCAAAGAATTCCACAGACATTTCAGAAAGAAATCAGAAAATTACATCCACTTTTGTATGATGTGTCTCCTTTTGGCATATTTTTCACTTTTTAAACATTCAGCACAGGAAAAAACGGTAAAGACTCCGTATGATCTTCAGATTTGCCCACTGCTGTATCGATTATGTTGAAGCTGAGACTAAAATATCCTTTTCGTGTCCATTTTCTACTGAATCCATCATTTCAGCTGCATCATAATGCACTGTCAATTTGAACTCAGACAGGCCAAACGCTTGCACACTGCTGCCAGCTGAGCTGAAGGAGGTCCAGCTTTTACACGCCAGCTCAGATTTGTGTTTTTTGTTGCTCTCTCAGACATCATCCTGGATGGCCTTCCACAGATCTGGCTCTAAGAACCAGATACCAGTTGTAGCTGAAGCAGGGACTTAACTAATCATTGTCAGGGAGGGGTGGATGTTGATGGAGGACTCAGGTGCGGAGATGCAGAAAACACGGTTTATTGTAACAAAAACAGGTTCAAAAACAGGGCTGTGGCAAAACTATGAGCAAAGTAACAAAGCAAGGTTAACAAAACTGTAGCAAAGTATCAAAACAAGACTGTGGCAAAAGTACAAACGAGATTAACATGGCAGTGGTCAAACAAGGCTATGGCAAAGTGACAAAATAAAGATTATCAAAACTGTGGCAAGGCTGTGGCAAAACATGGCTATGGGAAATAATCAAAACCTTGCATGGCGTGGGAGACGAAAGACGCAAGACGCAAACGAACTGGCACAGGACATGGGAAACGAGGACTATTTAAACACATGAGGGAGGGGAACCCCAGGTGTACACAATAGGTAATCAACACATGACGAGACACCAGACATTCCCCCAGAAGTGACAATCACATCACACCTGTTCAGCGTCTTGCAAGCTTGTTTTCAGAGAATCTGCTGTGTGTCTGCACAAAAAGTGTTGTTGAGGTTAGATTTCTGGATAAAACACCACAACCCATTGGACTGGACACAATATGCTTCCGGGCCTATGTGCGGTATTAAAACTGGTGGCATGGCTGTTTTTCATTCAGTGGTACCAAAGAGCTAGCATGTCCAATGTTTCCAGCAGTGGATTTAGTGATCAATGCTTTTTTCCATTTGGCAAACAATTGTGAGCCTCAACCTGTGTTTGCTTGCAGGTATGATGGTAGATGCTATGTTTTATACCCAATCTTGGCACCCTTGCCTGCCACTACTTTAAACATGAAGTTAAAATGACAACTGTTAGAACTTAAAGACTTAAAGGCAATAGTTTGTGGTAAAATAAGCCCTCTCTTCTCCTCACCATTTTCATTCTATATTTTGTTTTTCAGTTTTTAAGTCCTTTGTTTTTATCCTCATTGCGTCTGTATTTATGTTCGTGGGTAGCACGCACCCCCTCAGGCGAAGAGAACTGTACTTCCCATTACGCAAAGCCCACAAACCTTTCAGTGAAAGCTTCAGCACAAGTGGAAGGCAAAGCAAACCGAGAGATGCTCACGAAAAGTCGTGTAAGGAGCTCTAAGCGGCGTCTCGTTCTCCCGCCGTGAATGGAAAAGGAATTAGCAAAAACTACTCCTTTTCCATCACCAAAGCAGAAAGCTGACTCCAAGAGGGATTGTGGTTGGACTAGCAGGAGAGGGAGGAAAAGAAAAGTCTTTATTGGCCCAAATAACTGCTGACAGACTGACCACAAACTGCAGAGAACTTGGCCAAAAGGCAAAAATGTTCTCAAAGGCAGTTTCAGAGAATGATTTAGAGCTTCATTACATTTGAGAAATGTGTGGTATAAATTCAGTTCTTAATTTTATTAAAATATTACTTGGGAAACGAGCTGCCACTCAATAACTTACGCATATAGATTCTTTAGGCCGACAGAGAGGAACAGCATCTAGTCACAGGGTATTAAATTGTCCTCCCATGTGAGTGTTTTGTGAGGTGAAACTGCCTCCTGCTGAAAACTACTGCTGGATATGATCTGCTCCTGTTCTTTTCTTCTTTTTGTTATTATGAACCCACATGACATTAATGGAGTCTTTGAAGGAAAGTTAAAAATGTAATCTCAGAGAAATTCACCCAAATATTCCCCAAACTGCTCTGTTATCCTTGAACTCAAATAGCCTTTTAATCTGTGATTATTAAGAATATTTCTCAGTCTATACCTTGCAGGAGGTAGACAGAGAAACCTGATATAGAGCCAAATCATTAAGTGTTTTTTTAGGCTCAAGAAGAATGGTCTGTTTGGTATCTTCCCCCAGTTAGGCTTTGTTTCATAACTCTAATCTCGTGTTTAAGGGAGCTGCTGGTTATGCCAGAGCTTCTGAAGCAATGTTGTCGTACAACAGATGGTGACCTTTGCACTTGAAATAAATCAATTACCTAGAAAACCACAGACATCCCATGGTCAGAAGTTGTTTAACATTTAAGCAAGATAAGGTGGACAAAAGCCGCAGGAATTTATTCAGTGATCAGGCTGAGATTGTTGAATGTGGGGAACGGCATGAGGCGGGAAAAAAGGAGGAGAGTAAAAAACGAGCAATTTCCACTCAAGAAAAAGATGTGAATCCAACCGTAAAACTCTCCCAACAGAGAGTTAAAAGAGTATGTCCTATCTTGGCTGCAGAAGATCAATAAAACACACATAACTGATCCACAAACGTCATGTTTCTACATGTTATTTACAACCAGAGGTGTTCTTCTGCAACTGTAAAACCAACAGTGACCTTTAATACTTGAGAACAAGCCCACCAACTGAAAAAGGAGGGTGGTTGTGATCTGTGTCCCCCTTTTTTCAAGCTAGTCGACTCGTCGCCCTGATTGACGCCATGTTTAAACTCTGCATGCAGTTGGCCACCAGTCAGGTCTTCCTCAAACATAACGATAGGGGGCGTCTGCATCTATTAGCAGACCTTTGACGGGCCGTGTTTTAAAGGGACATCTTTGGGTTACTTTGGGTTACTTTTGGCTTTGCCTACTTGTGATGAAACAATACTATATTATTCATCTAATAGAACTTTACAGAAAAGCTATCTTTGCATTTACCAAAGCCTGACTGGTACTTTGGAGCATTCCTGACTGGATAGAACTATAGGCTTTTTTATCAATTGAAATTAATGTATGTGGCGCTGGTAATTTAACAAATATATACAGGATTTAGATCAGCACGCGTGAGGAAATGTAATTTCTCTTTTTGTGTGTGTTCTGTTGCTCTTGTCCACAAATCTCCATGTTCTATCAATGACATGTTAAGATAACAACAAAAGGTTCAAATGGAACCCACAAAAAAATCTAACAAATCCTCCATCTGAAGGTAAGAGGTAGAAAACGTTGAAAACCTTAAAAGGTTAAAAAATGAAAAATGTGAAAAAAAAAAAAAAAAAAAAAAGCTTTACAGTTCCTTTTTTCCATAACTGGTCATGAAGACTGGCTTGTTATTTTTATGTTATTCGGATGATTGCTTGGAATATTATTCCCTGAAAAACGAAAATGGAGAATTCTCACCCAATACAGTTGATTGCCTTTCTTTTTACTCTAAATGCTTAGTGGCAATCTTCTTCTCATTAAAAATGTTAGGTTGACTTTAGAAACATGTTGGCAGAGATATTAGCAGGTCCAGATTAACATCTCAGTTCACTTCATGCGGATGAAGATAAAGACTCGTATTTCAGGCTATTTTCAAGGGATGAGAGTTCTAACCTCTCAGAAAACGTGTCAAATTTGGAGGCAAACACATGCGCTTTTAGAGGACATAACAACCAGACATAACAGTCCAGCCAGCTTTCAATAGTCCACTCAAATACTTCTACCCAGAGCCATTGATTGCGTGACTGGTTGATCATTGACCCGACTCCTGGCCGGCTATAAGGCAAAGGGTCTGCGGCCGGCATCTCTTCAGCCAGTCGTAGAGGGAGACGCCGGTGGCCAGCTGTTGCCTCACACCGCAAAGCGAAGGCAGCAATCCCGCAACATGGGGGGAATACGGATGACTTTGCTGTTGATTCTGGCTGCTGCCTGCGTCCCCGTTCTCTGCGACGGCGAGGAGCCTCCGGTTCCGCGGCGAACCGAGAGCAGGTCCCGCTTCGCCCCTCTGGACGACGTGCGTCTCCTGGCCAACGGCCTCCTCCAGCTGGGCCAGAGCATGCGGGACTTCATGCAGAAGACGAAGGGGCAGATCAACGACATCTTCCAGAGGCTGACCATCTTCGACCGCTCCTTCTACCAGCTGTCGGCGCTGGCCAGCGAGATCAAGGAGGAGGAGGAGGAGCTGAAGAAGACCACGGTGGTGCTGCACGCCACCAACGAGGAGATGAAGGGCCTGTCCGATCAGATCAACTCCAAGATGGAGAGCATACAGCAGGACAAAAGTCAACTGCGGAACAAGCTGGAGGGCCTGGAGGAGAGACTGAGCAGCCTGACGGTGGGCCTGGTGACCAGCGCCCAGGCGGCAGAGATCAACAGCCTTCGGGTGAGTGACCTGCGCTCGGAAGGGGGAATCTGTCTCGTAAGGGTCACTCCGGTCACTGGATACGAAAACAACTACCTTCCAGAAAAGACCTTAAAAGTTGTTTCCCTGAGCAGAACCTGATCCAAAGCCAGGAGCAGAGCATCACAGAGCTGCTGAAAGCCATGGCCGAACAGAGTGAGCAGCTCAACCACCAGAGGATGAAGATCCGAACTCTGGAGGGAAAGGTGAGTTGTCCCGTATGCTGGGAGGCTTTGCACATTGAGAAAATCTCAGACTGGGCACCTTTGTTCACTCAAAAGGGTGCTTTTTTGCCGCTCAGCCGCTGTTCGGTGTTTTACTGTTGAACGTAAAGGTTATTTTTCCTCTGAGGGCATCTCACCAACTGCAAGGTTGTTTTTCTCTACACAACTCAGTCATATTATCCTTGTAGCATCCCAACATCTTTAGCGAGCTACGTCTAAATATCTGTCAAAAATCCTTTTAAAAATGTGCATTTATATCCTTCTGATTACAAAAACTCCACTCTATACCTTTCCAAAGTTTCAAAAGCGCACAACAGCCCACACTTTGTCACAAAAAGTATGTCCATGCCCTGTCAGAAGGCAAATCGCTTCTTGTACTGTGAACTAATTTTTTTAAACTGTCCTGCAGGTTACTTCCAGCAAGTTAACGTTCTTCAACCCAGAGGTTCCGACTCTCCCCCCCTATCTGACCTCGGGCTCTACATCCATGGGTAGGGGGGAGAGGAACACACAAAGAATACACACATTTGCCAGTCGTATCATTGCGCGGTTTCTTGCAGAGGCTTATCATCATCATTAGTGGTTGCTCATGATAACATTGTGTATGGGGAGCCACCAGGGACGTAAAACCAAATTTACTCCCAAATACACATATGAAATCAGAATCTTTCACATACTATACTGAGAACCTTTCACAAACACCAGTGAAAAGCTCTCACGTAAACTAGTGAAAACTCTTCCAAAACCCACTCAAAAGCTCTTGTACATAAGCTGGTGAGAAGCTCTACCTTTCACACATTCCAGTGAAAAGCGTTCATACACACTAGCGAGAGGCTTTCATACACAGCTAAAAAGCTCCTGATCAGGAGATTTACCGACCTGCCGTTTTCCAAACAGATCTGCCATCGGACTGCAGCGAGCTGTACGACAGGGGCGAGCGAGCGAGTGGCGCCTATGCCATCAAGCCCAACGGATCGGAGTCCTTCATGGCCTTTTGTGACATGACTGGAGGTGGTAGACACAAACGTCCTCATTTTTGTCTCTCACAAATTGACGCTGATGCCATAAATGAATTCTGAATTCTTCAGGCATTTAGGCAAAATTAGGCTTTTGACTGATTTCTACTTAAATGTTTCTATTTATTTTACAAGTTGCTGGAAAACTAACTTCTTACATGTTATGGCAGTTCGAAGCCAAGATATGCCGTGATACGTCTCTTGGTTAAGATTTTATTTTGAATAAGTTTTGCATGTTTCCTCCTCTGATGGCAAACGGATCTCATGGCAGAAAGGGATTAAAAGTGCAAGCCTTTGCAGGACACCAGCGATCCCTCATCTTTCAGACAGCATCCGATAATCATTCTGTAATCAAGAACAATTAGTGGCTGAGATTTTTTTTTAAATCATTCATTTTGTCATTTGGAATAGGAAACATGAGGCGTTTATTTTGTCTTTGATCAGTTTCACATGTTTAAAAGGCTTTTGCAACTCTTTTCTTGTCTAAAAGCGAAGGGATGTTGACGTTGTCCTTTTTTTTTCTTTTCTTTTTCTTTGTTTTTCGCTTTTAGACCACGGAGCAACAGTTATCCAGCGTAGGAGGGACGGGTCAGTGAATTTTGATCAACCCTGGGAGAGATATGAAAACGGATTTGGAGACTTTCAAGGTGAGATATTCTCTTCTCTTTGGGATTTCTCCGGCTCAGCTTGAACATGAATTTCACATTCTGTTTTTTTTTTGTTTTTTTTAAAGCCTCTGTGTGTATTGTTGTGTGGATCAGCTTGTCACATCGTGTCACTGCTCCCTCTGTGGTGCGTCTCTCTCCTTCTCACAGGGGAATTTTGGCTGGGACTCAAGAAAATCCGCTCCCTGGCCGCTCAGGGGAGCTTTATCCTGCACGTCCTGCTGGAGGACCGGCTCAAGCACAGGCTTTTCGTCGAGTACAGACTTCAGCTCGACGGGCCCGAGAAAAATTACTCCGCTCGCCTGGTGCGTCTGTCTGGGAACCTGCCCGACCCCGCGGGCGACCCCAGGGGCGTGACGTTTTCCACCGTGGACAGAGGCAACCAGCAGGACTCCGGCTGTGGCGCCCCGCAGTCAGGTATTATTACGGAGCCCTGCTCAGTGTTTTGCCGGTGTTGTGTCAGGTCAGCATACCCCGACAGACCAGCATGCCCATAGAAAAGTAGCGAACACTTGGAGAAGCCGACAGATCGCCATACCTTTCGTACATAACAAAAGGTATACACGCCTGTTGAGGTAGTTTACAGTGTATTTTTCGCACAAAACTAAAGGGATACTCGCGCGTTGAGGTAGTTTAAAGTGTATTTACAGAAGGGTCTAGCTGCACCTGCAGCCATCTACAAAATGCATCCCCATACAAAACACACCTCCCGCCCAGCCAATCGTTGATTTTGATTTGGACATTACGTCATCTTGGATACAGATTAATTGAAGTGAATCAAACGTGAGCATGATGCTTACTACCAGCAAGGTTGTAGTTAGCACATAAAAAGTAATGATAATCTTGTTCAATGTTGGGATTAAAGGAACAGTTCAATCGATGATCAAATTGATGTACAATTTTGCCACGTTTTTCCAGGGACTGCACATGCTTTAAATACGAAATTGTTAGAAATAGCATTTCTAAGTTAATTTGTAAACAAAAGTACTTGACTTTCGGTGTTGTTTTCTGGTAAGTTTGTGTGTTTACCTTAAACTATGGGTATGCTGGTCAGACGGGGCATGGGGCATGCGAAAATCTGACGTCATGCGCATGCGTATTGACTATGGGTATCCTGGTCTGTCGGGGTATGCTGACCTGACAGAACACCGGCTGTCCCCGGGTCGTAATCTCCATCGTCTTTTCAGGCGGGTGGTGGCTGAACGCGTGTGGAGACGCACACCCGAATGGGAAGTACTTCCGCCGGGGGAGCGGGATCCAGTGGAAGCTGGGCCCGAAGGGGTCATTCTCGGCCAAATCCACCCAGATTTCTCTCCGTCCTCTGGCGTCCAGCAGCAGCAGCAGCAGCTTCCTGACCTCATCTCACTCTGAACCTGGCGCATTCCCCTGATCCAACAATGCTCTTTTTTCTTTTCTTTCTTATCAGTGGATATTTGCTGTCCAAACCAGAATCAAACAGCGGCCTGTAGCAGTGCTTCGTGTTGAACACTTTGCAATCACTGAAGTAGCTCTCAGCCTGTTTTGTTCTGTTATAAGAAACTTGTCACACTACATCTCGATTGTCGCATATACTAAAGAAGCAGAGAACATAAAAGCTTTTTGTTGCAATCCTCATTCTATGGTGTAAAGAATATTTCC